GATAGATAGATAGATAGATAGATAGATAGATAGATAGATAGATAGATAGATAGATAGATAGAAGAAGACAATGACGTCAAGCCTAAATAGGAAGTGTGGCAGAAGAAGAAGACATAATGACGTCAAGCCTAAATAGGAAGTGTGGCAGCACGTTTCCCCACATGAACACACAGTACAGCTACAGTCTGAAATGCCAGTAGGTGAATTTTCTGTTGTTATAGGGGATATGGTAAACCTTTATGTCATGCTGCCAGCTAACATCTTTTGTGGTTAGCTTATCGTTGAGAAAGTACGTGTAATTTTTGCCAAGTGTTCTGTTCTATATGTTCCGCAAAATGTTACTCAGAAACATTACAGTAAACAGTTGACCGCATTTCGTACATGTCATAGACCCTTGAAGGTAGAGATACAGTCTTATTTTCTAAATTGGCATATTCCTCCAGCCTTTTCGGCCTGGTTTTGATTAATGTTTTTGTAGCTTTTTATCAAAAAATGTTATTTTACCGTGGGTTACTGATGTTGGGAGGTTTCCAGATCCGCTGAGCAGTTAGCATGGCAGCACGCAGGCCTCAGCTTCCGAAACATCACAGCCCTGGCCCCGATGGTTCGTGTGGGGACCCTGCCGATGAGGCTGCTGGCTCTGGACTACGGAGCTGATGTGGTTTACTGTGAGGTAGGCTGGCTACACGACCCAGAACATTAAAGTAGGAAATGATTTTACGCTAAACGCGTTGTTTTGTCTCTCCCAGGAGCTGATAGACATTAAAATGGCCCAATGTCAGAGGATCGTGAATGGTAAGACCTTTTCCAAAGCTTCAGATGAACTGGCCCTCTCACTAACTTGTGATAATTTCTCTTCTCTTTTAATTATAATTTGTGTGGGGGGAAAAATTACGAATCTCAGTGTGGTGGTAAACTAAATTCATAACAACTGTGCTTCACGAGGTGCACTGATATTAAATAAAAAAAAAGATTAAATTGCAGTTTCAGAACGTTTTCTCTAAGTAATGGTTCTTGCATGAATTTCTTCTGCTCACCAACCAGTTAAAATGGAAGTAATCGTTTGAATTATTCCCAGTAATTTCTCCAAGGATTCAGCAGCAAGCAAGGGAAATTTATGCCACTGCACATGTAAAAGCAGCAGTGAACTTCTTCTTGGCACAATTTACATACTTCTTATACTACTGCCCTGGTCAAACACTTATGCAGTCCATATCAAAGTCCATACCATTGTTTTCTCCAGCTGACCTGCAACAAAACAGATTACAACTGTTTCAAGTTGTTTAGTCTTCTTTCCTAAGTTTGTATGTTTAGCTTCTAAAATGGTACTGTGGCCTGTCCATCTCCAATGGATAGTAGTTGTGTTGTCATGGAGACCAGCGATAGGTATGTAGATTTGATTTGTTAGGAAGAACAGCACCAGAGAGCTGCAGACATTTTTCACTGTCACAATAATAACTTACTTTGATTCAAAGCCTAATTTTTTTTTCTTCTGCTGCTTCTTACCGTTTACGTTCAGATCCAGTCATTTACATATTCATAACTGGCCTACATGTGAGTGAAATTATTCTGGGTGCTTAACTTGAGTTTCTTAAGTTTTTAATTTTTTTTAGGAAATACTTAAAGATTTTTGTTTCCTGACATCAAAGAGGTGATTGCACATATCTTATGACAATTGCTTGTATTGTGTGTGTGTATGTTTTGCCAGATGTGCTGGAAACAGTGGATTTTGTGGCTCCAGATGAGCGCGTAATGTTCCGGACCTGTGAGAGGGAAAAGGACAGAGTCGTCTTCCAGATGGTGAGACCAAATATAACGGCACCAGCCATCAACCCAGTCAGTATTATGCACTGGCTGCCATTTTCTGCAGATCAACATGCAGGACTGAAACTCTGTTTGAACACTTTTAGGGAACTGCTGATCCTGACAGAGCTTTAACAGTGGCCCAGCTTGTGTGAGTATAACAGAACATATAGTGGAGAAAGCTCTGCAACAAAGCATTTAGATAATAACTATATTAATATTAATAGTAATAAATTAATATTCATGATGCTTAATCATGGAGAGCCATATGGAGAGACCTTTCTAGTGCTGAACCTCACCTGCAGAGCTCAACTTTAAATATTATTGTTATTTCCATGACCTTCACTATTCCTGGAATTTATTTTAACAGTTCAGGACAGCAGACTACAAGGCAGTTGGTTAATTTAATATTTTTTGACATTTAAAATTCTTCACTACTTCTGAGCAACACATTCAGGTGAGACAATTGTAGAACCAGCATCTACAAGCTTCACATTTCTACACGAGGAATACATGCAATTTGAGTGGTGAATTTATTCAGTTTAAGGTTTTCATTGGCTTGATGTCTGTCAATTTTTTCTGTAAGTTTCTATAGAAAGTGACAACCAACCTACTTGTATAATTCAAATGTGTCAGTTGGTCAACTAAGTGAAGTCTTTATTTTTAGTGTTGGTGACATTTACTGGACTTTGAGTTCCTTACATGGGCAGGAACTTTTTCTCCAGGCTTCTGTTAAAGTTTCGGGATCAACGAAGCCTCATATTTGACTCTAGAATACCTTAGAACATTGTGTTGTCATGAACCTTAACATTTACCATAAGATGGTGTTTTTTGTCATTTGTCTGAGTCTGACTTTCTTTAGGGGAAAT